CAAGGAGAGAAGCAACTTAGAACTGAGGAGAAATTTCCTGACCGTTAGAACAATTAATCAGTGGAACAGAAGTTGCCTCCAGAAGTTGTGAATGCTCCAACTGGAAGTCTTTAAGAAGATGTTCTGAAACAGAGGGTTTCCTGCCTAGGCAGGGGGTTGGACTAGAAGACCTCCAAGGTCCCTTCCAACTCTGCTATTGTATTGAATTGTATTGTATTGAAGCTCCTTAGCAGGAGATGGAGACGGACCTGTTCAGGTTACCTGAGATTTGGAAACAAGCTACCTTCACTGCAGAGGTGATTTAATTTAGTCTTCAGGACTAGTGAGATAAACCGATTATCGTGTAGGATACACCAATCCTACATGAATTTAGCGGCCTCCCTCTGTGTTTAACAGCAACTCAAGAGCGGCAAGGGACCTTCAGAGGTCTTCTAGTCCTGCCCCCTGATCAAGCAGGAGATCCTGTGCCCCATGTTGGCAAATCTATGGCACATGTGTGCCACAGGTGGAAAACGGAGCCCCCTTGGAGTGTCCACGAGCCGTCGCACAGATCAGCTTTACTGCGCATGCCCGTGCGCCTCCCTCCGGCTGGTTTCTGGGTCTCTGCTGGGAGATGCATGCGCATGCACGGAGGGTTGCATGTGCATACACAAGGGGTGCCCCCCCGGTGCTGTTTTTGGTGCAAGGAGGCTTCAGGGAGGGCCTCCGGTGCCTGGGGGAGGCTGTTTTCGCCCTTCCGGAGGCTCAAGGAAAGCCTCCGGAGCCTGGGGATGGCTAAAAGGCCCTCCCTGGTGTGGCACAGAGGGCGGGGCGTGTTGCACTGTGGGTGTGGCCACGCATGCACACGCACAATTTTGGCATATGAGGACAAAAAGGTTAGCCATTCCTGCCGATCCCATTTCAGACCATTGGTTGCCCAGTCTCCTCTTCAAAAACCTCCACTGATGGAGCCCCCACAACTTCTGGAGGCCACTTCTGCTCCACTGGTTCATTTTCCTCCCTGTTAGGAAGTTTCTCCTTAATTCCAGGTTGCTTCTCTCCTTGTTTAGTTTCCACCCATCGCTTCTTCTCCTGCCCTCGGGTGCTTTGGAGAGTGGCTTGACTCCCTCTTCTTTGTGGCAACTCCTGAGATATTGGAACACTGCTATCATGTCTCCCCTAGATCTTCTTTTCATTAGACTAGAATAGAATAGCAGAGTTGGAAGGGACCTTGGAGGTCTTCTAGTCCAACCCCCTGCTCAGGCACGAAACCCTACATCACTTCTGACAAAGGGTTATCCAACCTCTTCTTAAAGACTTCCAGTGTTAGAGCATTCACAACTTCTGGAGGCAACTTCTGTTCC